TCTTCCTTCGCTTCATTTTACTCTTATGTTTCATCGATTATAACAATAAGTCATTGAAAAATTATTCATTATTATTAATTGATTTTTCTTAACGCGATTTCACTTGTAGCGCTGTTTGTTATACAATAATTGTAATTTAAATCACTGCTGTTAGTAATAATACACCGATTCCATTCATATGAGAGCATAAATCATTTCTTGCTGTATACTTTATTCATACGATATCTTTGGACGAAAACACTTTATTTTTGGATTAATGTTCTAAAATACGTGTTTGATATTTCAATGAAAACATTTACACGACGTTAATAATACGCTAAGTAAAAATTCATATCTCAATTTACAAATCTGAAATTAAAAATGAATCGAACGGAACAAAATGTATCTCGTATAAATATTTGTAAAAATAACGTAATTACGATAAACGATTTAACTTATTATATTAAAAGATCAATGCTCAACATTATTAAACGATTGTAAAACTAGCGATGGAGAAGCGCGTGCAAACAATCGTAGCTTATTGATGATTGATTCAGTGTCGGTGTTCGGATCAGAAGGGTCGGAATTGAGGTGTAAAAGAGCACCTCATTCTCCCTTGCTCTCTCTCTCTCTCTATTTCTCTTGGTCCCCCATAAATCAAAGAACGATTACACGTGTAAATATACTGGCCCTCGCCCCAGGCACCAGCTGTGCTTTACGGAAATGCCCCTTATGTTCTGTTTACCTAGGAATCGGTGCGCGTGTGGAAAAATGGCAAACGATCCGCACGTTTCGTCGCGCCTGAGAGCGGAGAAAATCAGCTTGTCACACGCCGACATAGCGATCAGCCCCGAAATGTCAAAGATAAACGAACTAAGCGGTTTCTTCTCTCGCAATTTGCATGTTAGCAACGTCTATCGCTATTAATATTGATCGTAAATACACGATTAAAATATTAAAGGTACTGTATATTAATATACAATGTATTATTGATCATAGAAAATATCTATTTTAACTCTAAACGGATAACATATTATATTATTAATCGCACTATGGAACATTTGATATCTAGCTTCTAGCACGCTCATAAACGCACAGCATAATTACATAAATTGTAGCGTATTATTCCGTTCCCACCTATGTCGCACATATTAAATTAGATCGCTTTATCATTATGGCCACCAATCAATCTATCAATATCATAATCTCGTTGCAGATAATATCAGAAAATCCTTCTATATATATATTCATGCGTAGCATATACAAATAAATTTAAATATTAAATAGATAATTAAATTTTGAGGTGGCATTTGCAATTTTCATTTATGAACTGTATATAAAATTTCTAGAGCGGGAAATATCATTAGCTGGCGGTATCTGCATGCGTGTAGATCATATGCACCAGGACGAGAAATTTAATTTATGCGTTCATTTGTGCAATACCGTTGAGTTGTGACCGCTGAGGTACAGCACTCACGAAGTCATATTTGTATGGAAATTCCGACACGTTGCTTTTGAGAACAGCATAATGCAAACGTAATCTCTCAAACTTCGTATGTTATGTGATTTACTTGAAGGGCGAAAGAGAGTATAATGTCGCGAAGTATATTATACATATATATACATACTTCATATTATCATATACACACGATATAAATATTATGTAAATGATCTTCCCTTTGAAAATCAATGCACTGCAATAACATCGATGCACTCAGCGAGCTTTATCGCACATCGAATTACAATATTCAAAAAGCATGATATTCGCATATCAGTGATGACTAAATAAGTTGATAATATATTGATTTCAACAATAATCGATTTTAAAATCTATTTTTAAATATTATAGATATATGTTTTTTTTAGTTATATTGTTATATAAAAAATGCGAGTATAAAAAGTATTTTAACAGCACATAAATAAATTAAAAACGAGAGAGTGGTCTTATAATTATATAGATAATTAAATCAAATTGAATACTTAAAACGCGTCGCTAGTGATATTTAAAATAGGAACGATATATTAAATTCGACCCAAACTAGTCAAAGAAAATTTTTATTTTATTTCCACAACGTTTCGACCATCTGTTTTTGGTCCTTTTCAAGTGAGAAATTTCTTAATAAAAGCGCAGTTAGTTGACACTGTTGTCATTATTAAACAATAATGTGATTATATCGGAATTTTTTAAATATTTGAAAAAAAGAAACCGCATCTTATCGTTATGATGGATCGTCAAAAACCGATATAATCACATTGTTTAATAATGACAACAGTGTCAACTAACTGCGCTTTTATTAAGAAATTTCTCACTTGAAAAGGACCAAAAACAGACGGTCGAAACGTTGTGGAAATAAAATAAAAATTTTCTTTGGCTAGTTTAGGTCGAATTTAATATATCGTTTCTATTTTATAGATAATTAATATATAAATATTAGTAAATATAAAAAATAAATATAAATTTACAAATTACATAATACAAAAATACATATATACATATATGTATACAATTTCGCGATATACTATATATATATATATATATCAACGTGTAATGTAATATATGTTAATATGTATTTTTATATGTGGTATCTCTCTAAGAATTATATGTTTAAATTATGTTTGCACGTTATCAAAGTGTTTGCTTAATTAACACGTCGATTTTACGCGATAAAATCTTTGTTCATAAAATAATGTTATTGTTTCGTTTTGGTTCGTCTCGCCTTTACCTCCGGAAAATTCGAACGAATCCGCATCGGGGGTGCGGGTTCGTAATAATAGAGGCAACGACCGTAGAATCATACCAGAGTCCCGCGATTTTCCCACCGACAATGGAATTTCCTGGATGACTGACGGCTCGGTCGCCAACCGATTCGCGGAGCGATCATCCGTGAATTCCCTGTTCGCTTCTTTACATTCCGCAATAACAACAGGGTTCACAGATATCAGGAATACGAGTCCTCTATGTGTGCGTGCAAATTGTATGAAACGAAAAGAAACGCGCGTGCTAAACACTAAATCTCGAAATTATATATTAATCCATACTTAGAGATTTTTAATTTAATTTAATATATTACACGTATATATATATATATATATATATATATATATACGTGTAACATTTTTTTACGTAAACATTTTTTTCTACAGTCAAAAATAAAAAACTTATTTGGGGTAGGACATTAAAATGGGACACCCTGTACATATATATATATATATTCATTTATTATATGAATATATATTAAGCCATACTAAGATTTTAATTTAATTAATATATTACAGATATATATATATATATATATATAATATATATATATATATATATATATATATATATATATATATACGTGTAATATATTAAATTAAATTAAAAATCTCTAAGTATGGATTTATATATATTCATATAATTAAATGAATGAATATATATATATGTATATGTACAGGGTGTCCCATTTTAATGTCCCACCCCAAAAAAATTTTTTATTTTTGACTGTAGAAAAAAATGTTTCAGACAAAAATTGTATGGTTTTGAGAAGGACATAAGGTGGTGCCATTAGTTTGACCTTGAATAGTTGCTTGAAGGTCACGTAAAGGTTATCTTGAAGTAAGATCTTGTCTTATAACTCAAAAAGTACTTGAGATAAAAATGTTTCATTATAGTATTTTGGAAAGCTCTCGATGTCAGCTACAAGAGTATGTAATGAAAAGTAGATGGTTCCATTTAAGAAATAATTTAAGAATAAAGAAATTTAAGAAATAAAAGAATATTTATATGTACGCGCACATACGTTTAAATACTTATTTCACAATTTATTACGGTCCTCTCTGTGCTTGGTGCCAAAAAATACGAGTAGGGTTACATACTCTTAGATTATTTCTGACAGAAAAAAATTTATTTGTTAATAAACAAAGCCCGGAAGAGTTCCGCTTAAGTAGATATTTACATCAGAAATGCTGATTAATTAATTATTTTTTAAATTAATTATGACATTTATTTACAAACAGATGTAATCAAATGTAATTAAAATATTTTGAATTGACGATTAATTTTAGAAAGATTAATTAGAGATCGTTACAATGACGATTGATATAAGCTAGATTAATCGAAGATCGCTTAATTAACGATTAATATGATCAAAGTCAATTGAAGGTTATTTAATTGACAATTGATATAAACGAAATTAATCGGAGAGCGATCGATTAAACGATTAATACAAGCTAATTTAATTGAAAGTTTTTCAATTAAACGATTAATATGAGTCAATTTTAATTAGAAGTACTTTAATGGACGATTGAAAAAAACAGATTCGATCGAAGACAATTCAATTGACAATTGATTTGAGCAGAAACAATTAAAAAGTATATAATTGACGATTAAATATAGCAAATTTAATGCGAATCTTTTCCATTAACGATTGACTTAAGAAAATCGATATAATTTCTCTATTTCCATTAATTAACTATGTGTAACGATTAATAAAATTTAAATAAATTTAATCGAAGATATTTGATTGATGATATTATAACATGACTGAATTTAAAATATTTTAAAAACTTTCAATTAAATTAGCTTGTATTAATCGTTTAATCGATCGCTCTTCAATTAATTTCGTTTATATCAATTGTCAATTAATAATAATCTTCAATTGACTTCGATCATATTAATCGTTAATTAAGCGATCTTCGATTAATCTAGCTTATATCAATCGTCATTGTAACGATCTCTAATTAATCTTTCTAAAATTAATCGTCAATTCAAAATATTTTAATTAAATGTGTTCATATCATTTGTTCAATTTTTAAAAATTTAATTGATATTTTGCCAACTCTGATATGTATATGTATATAGATATAGGAGATGAGACGCCAGTCAATTTTCAAGACTATTCAAGAGTTCTGCTATTCCAAAATAGTTTCTCATCTGGATATATATGTATATGTTGCTCTTCTAAAGAGTTCTGATAATTAAAACTATTAGAAATTTTTTACAATAATTATTTTGCCGGAAAAATGCATTTTTTCGAAATTAAAGGTGAGACGTCGGTCGATGGATATAACTTACTACTAGTTAAAGGGGACATAACAGATGATCGTATTTAAAAATGGCGAGCGGAGTAGCGCGTGCAAGTAAGACCGCTTTGCGATATTTTCTCGGAACATGTGTACCTTCGTCCAAACAAAATGCCGCCAAAGTGAAAATAGCACAATTGGAATTTAACGATTACATTCATATGGTTAGTACATGTGAATATATCATACCTTAACACTTGTTTAGATTATTTGTTAATCGAGGTTATGTTTCTCTTGTCTATTATATAGTATTACAAAAAGTACGACTTTATTTATGCCAATGATCCAAACAAGCTCTGCAAAACTGGTGATGTAATTTTGATCAAAGAATTACCAAGCAAATTAACACGTCTGATTACGCACGAAGTATGTATGCTATGTTACGCAACAATTTTTAATTATTTTCATAGTAATGCAGTTTCTAGAGGAAGATTACACATTAAATTAGAATTTCATGTTATATACATTTTTGGGTATTTATAATAGAATTATATTGCAGGTTATCGATGTGATATATCCTCTAGGTGATATAACAGATCCAGTTACAGGAAAGAAAGTTGTCGCAAGTCAATATAGGTACATGGACTGTTAAATGTTTTAGAAAGAGATAAATCTGCAGTGTTATTTATAAATTAGAGTGAAAAGTCATATTTTAATTTAATCTTTTGTAAATTTAGGGAGGATATGGAGGAAAGAATCAACATGTATGGTAAAAAACACTCAGCTTTTAATTATTCAAAAGCACCAAGAAGAGGAAGGCTGGAAGGTGTAAGAGATTTTACTCATAAGAAAATGTATTTGAAATACTATGATGATCCTAATGAACCACAACCAGATACAGTATACTAAAAAATACTTGTATAGCTCAAAAAATTATTAATAAATTATAAATATTCAACAGAAATTGTGTATGTATGTATGTATATTATTGTGCAAAAACTCAATTACAGATTTTTATTTTTCAATTTTTTTCTAATACATGTTAAGATTTTGATAAAAAAGGTTATTTATGATTATCAATAATTAGTGTGATAATTCTTTAAAAATATTAAAGAAAATAAGTTTTATTCCCTAATATTTTTTGGTACAATAAAATTGTATTGCATGTTCTTTATGCATGAGGAAATATCTCACAAATATGTTCAAATACATTATTTACAATGCTATGACAGTTGTCATTTACATAAATCACTTTTTCGAAGAATAAAATTATTTATTCTCATCTCTGAAATTGATTCTTGCCTGTTGTGTAATATAGACTGATATCATGTACATACTTATTTGTACACATGTACATTTCCATGCACATTTGTATAGATTTGTATGTATAATTTGAAAGTTTAAAACATATGAATTATTCAACATAGAGAGAATCTTTCCATTTTTTATATTTTTGTTTTATATATAGATTAGTCATTTTAACTTACTTTCTTCAAATATTTAATATTTTTATATCTTGCTCTGATTACATCAGAGTACACAAATAATTTATTATTATCATAACATTTATTATTATCAATAACCCTGCTTCAACTATCGAACTTGAAATGTATAAATAACACAAGATAACCTGAGTGAAAGAGAATCATCCAATAATCAGAATACTAATATTCAAACTTATCACTCAGAAAGAAACTCTCTTTCAAGTGCAGCACCCAATGCATTCCATTCTCGATCATCTTCATTATCTCCTTCCAGGTCATCTATTGAATCCTGTGAATTGTCACCAAAATCTAAATCATCAGGTAAATCTTGTCCTCTTCTAAACAATGTAACAGGATCATCGTCGTCGTCGTCATCATCATCGTCGACATCATCATCGTCGTCATCATTATTATCTTCATCATTATCATTATCACTGTCATATATTTCATCTTTATCTTCTGAAGAACTTTTATCAGAGTTGCCATTGTAAATCTTTCTCTTCTTTCTTCTTGACATTTGCGATTCACCTGCAAAAAAAGACATCGTTTAATTTTATGAGAATAAAACCACACTCGAAAGATATATATTATTTGCATAGAGTGTATATATTTACATTATGTGTATAATGTTTTTTTAGATAGAATTCTGTCAACGGATAATATAGAATGTCTTTACCATTTAGAGAATCCTCAGAGTCAGAACTTAGATAATGTTTTTTCGTTCCAAATTCTTCCGCGTCATCCGCATCTTCAAAAACCATATCTTGTTCTTCCATGTCCTCATTTACTTCCTTATCCATAAACTCGATTTCCTCCTGAGTGAATGACATTAATGGATTGATAGAATTAGCGAAGGAATTTGCATTATCGCTTTCTAGGTCTTCGACACGGTCAGGGCTACTGCAATGTGGCGGTGGTACTCTGGATCCGCGGGCCTACGATACTTCATGTTTATTATTAATGTTGAGACATATTATATATATTTGAAGTAGCAATCTTCAAAAATACAAAGGTGCTTAAATGATTTAAATCAACATTGTAAAATTACGGTATCTATACCTGTGAAGTGAGAGGAAATAGACGTTCATCTACATGTTCCCAGCGTTCCGCGCACGTCCACAACCATTCTGGATTTACAATTTTTATATTTGCGTCTTTTCTGGCTGTGTTCGCTTTAGCTGTACCCTTTCTAATAGCAACTAAATGCGAGGTTTTTTCCGTCAAATCCTGATAAAATATTATCGTTGTTTATAGAAATACAGTAAGAGATGAAAAATAAAACGAATATGATCAAGTTTTTTACCTGAGTCACTTCCGCCCCAAATGCTCTCGCGACTTTATATACGCGGCTTTGGTGAAGCTTTTGATGAGTGGGTATCAAACCACTGAAAGTTAAACACAATCCTTTCAGCACTTGAGAACGTACCCGCGGAATTATATCTCGGAGAGATTTTCGACCATTCCCTTGATCTAATGTAGCGTAAAATTCAGTATGAATTCTCCGAAGAATATCTTCCAAGTATAATAGGTAATCATCGTCATCTTCGTCTATTATATTACTTTCCTGTTTTGATGCTTCTTGCTTATTATCCATTTCTGTTTCTGTAGGTAATGCAGCTTCTTTATTTATCTTATCATCCTCTTTTCAATACTAGACTGAATATTGGAATCTGCATTTTCTTCAATATTCACTTTAGCATTTCCGTTCTTTGTTTCTTTATCTTCAAATTTTTCATCTTGTTCATTTTTTTCATTATTTATTTTTTCTACTGGTGAAGTATCTGATGACAACTGTCCGACTTCACTTAATGATTCAGACACTCCATTCTTGTTGTCCCTATTTTGCAACTCATTTACATCTGATTCATTTATATTTGTAGGATCAGATGGATGCGAAGTGTCACCTTTTTCCAATCCCGGTGGTGCGTTAATATCGCCGGTGTGACGGAAAAAGTGATAAGGTTTAACCTGAACCAGATTTCCACATCCTTGCCATACATCTTCCCTATCATCTATGATACATACTAAATCGTCACCACATGGAAATAAAGCTCTAGAATAAATAAAACACAATAGGAGAAACTCTATGCCTATAAATTTAATATTAGACACAACAAAAAAATATTTAAAAGAGAATAATTTACAAACTTACTTGAGATTTGCAGTTTTTGATGCTGGATCAAAACATTCATCTCTAGAAAGTATCCTGTGAGAGAATAGAACCCCGTCTTTATCTAGTAATGATGCAACAGTATGTGCATAAATCCTTGCTCCAAAGGTGCAAATATGTAATTCGTACAAACGACTCATCTCTGAGAGAAAATGTCGAGTGTTTGGTCTTAATCTGGTATGATACCATGGGGAGTTTGGTCCATATAATTGAAAATGGAAAACATCCTGAAAAAAAACAAATACAATGTATTTAATTTGCAACAACATTTTTAGAGGTTTGTATCAATATAATAAAATATTCATTTACTTTCAAATTAGGTGGAATATTATCATTTGTGGTATGAACTATTGTCTGATCGAGATCCACAAGTAGGACTAATTTTCGATCCTTCAAAAGACGCTGCTCATCTTCTTTCCCAATTTTCTCAGCTAACTCAGGACATACTTTCAGCTCTGGTATGCTGTGTACCATAGGCACACTGGCTTGCGATATTCCAGCTGTATTTCCATCTTTCCCAGTTTCATGCACCCTCAAATCTGCTCCACATTCTGCACACAAGTCTATCATCACAGTAGGATGTGTACACCCTTCCAATAGAGCTATCTCTTCCCTGGAACACTAACAGACTATGCAGATATCGCAAAATGCAAGTATAGGTATTTATATTTTGAATTAATAAGAAAATATTTGTTTATAAAAAAATATTTATCATATTTATTAAATCCTTATTTGAAAGAACAGTGACTTAAAGGGTAAATTATGTCAAATATATCTTTTATTTCAAAATATTTAGATATACGACGAATTTGATAAATTTTGGAGCGCAAAGTGACAGGTATACGTATCATACCCAGGTTGGATGATGTCACCCTCCTTGGCGAGGATTTGCTTAACGCGGCCGAAATTTGTGGCTCGTAGCTTCCTCTCGGGTTCCTTGGCATCCTCGTTCTCGACGCCCGGCGTTGTATTTTGATACAACAACAGTACTCTGCCCGCCGCGACCATTGTGTCTAAACGTACTCGCCACTTCAATATTTTCCCAGGCGGACCGTCCGATGGGAACGTAACCTTTATTATCGCCATAATCGCGCACTCACGCTCATCCGGAATACGATAACAAACGTTATCCGCGTCCCGGAAGAGACGACGAAACTGTGCTTCCCTTTATAACCTCCGCGAAAACTTCACTTGGGTTTTTGCGCGGGAGACAGGAACGCAGCGTAACGTAAACACGATCGACGTTCGCGTCCGCATCGATCCGAGCACGAAGTTTACGCACGATCGTGAAAACGAGGAAAAATAGACGCGTGTGCTCCGAACGTGATTGGCAGACGTCTATTTTGGCGATTGCGTGGACTAAAAAATCGCACTGAATCAGCTGTCAAAAATATACTACCCGACTTGACGAACGTTCGGCCGATTAATCAGCTGTATTTATAATTTATACTCTTTCATTCATGTATTATACATATATATGATATATGTATGACATATTGATAATAAAAAAAAGAAAGAAAAATGACACAAAGAAATGATCTCTTATATATGTATATAATTCATGGGCAAATCGTAGGCTGTCAGTTGCCGATCATATATATATAAAGTAATCCATGCCATGTTTTTTGGCGCGCTCGTGAAGTTTATAGTTTATATGTTTATAACCGCTGTCAAACCCTTTTGCTCGCGATTAACGAGTGTATTGGAGAAAAAAAAAGAGATTCCAGTGCCTAATAATCATAATTGGACTAAATTAGTTGAAGACACATTAAATATTTACAAAAAAAACTTGCCCGCGTTGGAAAAGCAAGATTTGACGTAAAAAATAGCACAATTAGGCGTTCTTCGATGCATTTTCCGTCTTATTTATTGGTTTTGTTGTTTAGTGGATAATTTTCTGCATTCTTTTATAAAATGCATCACGCCGGAGAAAATCCTAGACCTAGCAACGTAATGTACACACCGCGGACACCGCAAATGCGTCAACGACAACGATTTAATTTAAGTACTATGCCAGTCAACGAAGAGAATGTTATGGGATTGGAAGGTATATACGTTATATTTTACATTTGAAAAAGTGATTTAAAATTGATTATACAGTTAGTAAAATTGCGATTTAACGTCGCAAAAATTTCTCTGAACTTTGACAATTAATCACCAAAATATTTTCTCGTTTCAATGTATGAATTTTTTGTACTTGTGCATGTTATCACATTTATTTATATATTTAAATACTATAATTTTGTAAATGTTAAAAATAAATAAACTTTACAGGTTTAATTCGCAAAACATGGAATATTTATGCTGTATCTGCTTTATTTGATTTTCAACAAGATGATATTTATCTTAAATTGTATGCGAAAAAGCTGAGAGAAGAAATTGCAAGCACTTTGTCACGTGAAAATGTAACTTACGATGCAAAGTTTTCTATAATGGAAGATGTTGTACCTACACCAAATCATGAAAATCATCCAGCAATTAAGGTTAATAGAAAAACATTAGTTAATATTTTCTGTTTTATATAATGACATTTTTATTACATGTATTACTCAAATATAGTTGAGGAATAACAAGATTTGTGAATTTTTTAGATTGAAGTTCTAGCCAAAATTAGCGATCAGGAGAAAGAGAGAGAGAAATCTCTTTATCAAGGAATATTGTTATCCTGGAGAATAACAACAGAGGCTGAACCAAATATAGAAAATCAAATAAGATTACCTCTTTTGTTATGCAGTGGTACTAATACTTGTATAGCTGCAGTCCATGATACAATTAGTCGTATGTTTGACTGTTTGATAATTGCATTATCAACAAAAGAATATGATTTAAGTTGGCTTGTTCCTATTATAATTATGACTAATAAAGAGGAGCCTGTAGTTTCTGGTGAAGTTAAAATGATGTATACAGTACAATTACCAGTAACAGATACTATTACAGTTAAATTTCAAAGTGCAGATCTAAGGAAGATATTATTAGCGTATGTATATATAGTATTAATATAATTAATTGTACAAAAACATCTAGAAGATTATTTGTAATATATATCACATATACATATATTTTAAATATTTATTAATTTGCAGAATTATCACAAATCAAGATAATGATGATAATATAATCCTTGACCGTAGTCACATAGAATTATTTTTTGAAGTCTTACATAAGCAAATGTTAATGTGTGGAGGTTTGGAATTAGGATTATGTACACTACATAGGATTGATCTGCCAGGAATAACCATAACGGAGAACAAAGTAAGTTTTACATATATAGTTTTTCCCTCTTCTTTCATATTAAAATAATTCTATTTTCTTAAAATATATACATACATTAATGATGCAATACTTATTTATATAGTTTATATCTTTTTTGTTTTTAGATGAAATTAGTCAATATAGAAATTATGAATAATGTATTATCGTATTTAAATGAAAAAGCTTTGGATATCTTTCATACAGTGCATATTGATATATGAATTTTCTCACTGTGCATTGAATACTTACATTCCTCTTATTAGCAAAAAGGAAAAAGATATTTTTAACAAAAGACGATTTATCTATGGTTATTAATTTATGTTAAAATACTTTATTATAGAATAAAAAATTTTGATATATATATATATATACATTATCCATGTTTTAATAAAAACAAAGAGATGAGATTATTTTCATATTCATATTTCGTCCTTCCATCTTAAGCAATATATTCTATCTCCATCTGCAAAATTAAAAAAAGGAATATTATAAAAAACAAATAAAATCAATATACATATTACATAACTAATGATAAAAACTCACAAAATTGTTAACAATTCTTTTTTTGTTATTCTTCTTTGCATTCACAGTTTGCATAAAATGTTCAAAATTTATATAGTCATTTGGTTTCTCGTCAAGTGGTGAAGGTACAAATATACCAAACACTTCAGGTAACATATAAGGTTTTAACCATGTTACAAGTGGAGTACATCCAAAATTGTAATGTGCATTGCAATGATAAAACAAGAACCCATCTATGCAATTTATTTCAAATTTAAGATTCGTTAATGCTGTACTTAAATCTGATGTGCACTTAGTGTTGTATAGAGGTAAAATAGCATATTTATTTGTATCAGGATCACATTCTTTAAATTGTTGTGTCTCACAGATTTTGCTATTGATCCAAAATAACCTGCATTCGGCCTAAAATTTATTTAATAAATTTTTATTAATAAGGCAATTGACATAATTCTAAAATATACAAACAGTATGTCTATATACCTCACAGTTTGTGAATGGTAATTTACCCCAGTACAATACGTCCAATATATAATAGGTTTGTTGGTCCTTTATCCATATGCAATCTACAACAGCAGATTGATGCATATCTGCAACAGGATTTCCCCCTGGAAGTGCTGAATTGAAAGTATCACATAGCACACCTTTCCTAGAATATGCTTTTGTTGTCCCCTAATTCAAATTAGAATTATTCTATATTTGAAAGATTTATGTTACATGAATATAAGTAGATAAAGATCAATACCCTTCCTGAAACTATTCTCGTTCGTTTTCCTTTAGGACATGGAACCATAATCCAGTTCTCAGTAAAATCTTGTGGTACATCGAACATCCATTCTGACAACATCATTCGATTTTTTTTATATTTTTGTGAATATTTATGTTGTGAAGAACATTCTTCCACATCTTCAGTTTCTAATTCAGAGAAATATAAATCTTGAAGTATACCACGTGCAGCATCAAAAGCTTCTTGTCTGTGCCTATAAATAAAAAAAAATATATATATATCTAAATACAGAAACTGATAAAAGTTTAAGTGTAATTATAAAGTGCATTAATCGTAACAATTGTTAATCAATTAAAATACAAAAACATTGAATACTCCAATTTAATTTGGATTTTTTAATGATTGAAAAGATTAAATTGCATTGATCTTTGCCTCATTCCATATTGCAAAATATTATACATACTTTTTTGATATTCTAACAATATTTTACGTCTTTCTTCTTGATTTGAATCCTTGTCAAATTCCAGTCTAAAATTATCTTTCTTAATCCGATTTTTATAAAATGATCGACGTTCAGTCTCTCTTGTTTCAGAATTGAGATCGTTATCTAATACTACTGTTGCCATTTTACAGTCTGTTATAATAAATAAAATAGAATTAGACAATTTATTTCGACAGCAGAAATGAAAAAATGTAACGCAAATTTCTATTTATATATTTTTAGGAAAAATTATACTTTGTTCTAGAAAATTAGTAGAAAAAAATGTAAATTTATAATAATTTAGAATGTTATTTTTCGGTAAACTTGATAAAATTGCTTTACAAGTTGATTAGAAGTGAAAATAGTTAATAAATTTAATTATACATTTTACAACCGACCACGTGTTATTCGTCAATATCAATATACAACATAAGTAAAATATACACAATATATATTTGATGTCTTCTTGTTGTAAAATGATTTTTAAATTATTATATTAGTATCATTGTATCATTTATGCAATATTTATTTTTTTACATAACTTTTATTTGCATCTCTTTCAATATACTGAGATCATACCTTACCTTGTTCTATTTTTTCGACTTTGATTAAATAAGATTCAATAATATAATACAATAGTAAACAGATTGAGTCAAGTACACGAGATCCAAATTTAAGACACGTGTGATAATATGTCTTCTAAATATGTTCTTTTCTGTCGTCTAACCCAGTCGCAGGTACATACATACAACTTTCGGTTATCAGCTGATAGCATTTCTGTTTATACAAAGAACGAGGAATAGATTATGCCAGAGAGGAACAAGAGAGTGGCCACCGGTAAAAATGAAAGATTCTGATTGGTTGATTCCTTTAGGCAAAAGCCTGTGCTCCTATCCTAAGATTCCGAATGGATCTCGTTTGTACATCTATATAATGCAGTTTTTCAATGACTATGACTATATTTACGTTCATGATATTGATTTAAAGAGGATAGGATTGAATTTTGGATATATAGCGATTGTTATATTATTATTTTTATAATTGTTTAAAAATTATACTTGTGTGAAGTGACAAACATGCCAACATATGAATTGCCGCTGTTGTTACGTATCATGAAGAAGGTATTTTGTATTATAATGTATACTAGGTTATGCTTTCTATATAAAACGTGCTAATTATATCTATAATATAATTTATTATCTTTCACACATCTTTTCTACATGACTTTTCCATCATAACATTATTATTATTATGATATATATATATATATATATATTTGACGCATATATTTTGTAGCCGGAATTGGTAGAATCTTTAAAAAGAACAACCACAACAATATTTAATACTGGTGGCTTTATCAGAAAAATTGAGAATTGGGGAGTAAAACGGCTTCCGGTCAAAGCCAAAATTCATGGACGTCTTCATAGAGAAGCAAAGTAAGATTATATTAATATATTATATTATTAATCAGAGTTGTGATTAAAGCATAGTTGTAATAGCTTTGTATTTAAATTAGGACATATCAAATGCAATTGATAATTTTCTTATTATATGTTAATTAGAACAAATATATATATATGTATCTTTTATTTGATATTTTCAGTCATTTTTTAATATATTTTGATGCACCACCAAAAGAAATAGAGAAAATTAATGATGAATACAACAGAGATATTGATGTTATTAGAGCAAAAATATTTAAACAAAATATACCAAGGGAACAACAGTGTACGTTCCATGAAGAAATGTTACCTCCACCATACAGGTATATATACTTGTTTTTTTTTTATTATTTATAATGTAACGTGTATGTGTATACACATATATCTCAATTATTCTATTTTATTTATATAGACCTAGTGTTCAGAAAATGATGGAATTGGCAAAGAAGCGGCATAATAATAAATACGAATTTAAATATAATAGTGGATTGAACTATTATCCTTTTAATAAATAATTATAGATTTCTTATTGTATATATTATTGTTTCAAAAATAAAATAGTTATATATATATATATATATAACATTTTATGTTAGAAAGAGAATTGGTTGATTTACTAGGATAGAACAAAATTAAAAATGCAACATACAATAGTGTTTCATCATAAGTAATATTTAATGTAAAAATCACTTATTGATGCATTGTTTATTAACTCATATTATGAAAAATTATTATTTCTTTTAACCATCAATATATATTTGTACAAAATATATACTTAATATATAATCATTCATCATTATATAATAATTATAATAATTATTTTTATCTCACGTGCAACATGAATTTGTAAAATAATTTTATTAAATTGTGAAAAGTGTTCAACTGCAATGACAACATGGCTAGCCAAGTCTATGGCTTCTATCGTTGTACAATATACTTTGTAATATTTAACAAGTATTATAATTGTCCAGACTAATGCTACATACACATATCTTTGTTCTTTTGTAATTATAAGAATGTTTATGTATTTTCTATCCTGAGAGCTAGACAATTGCGTTGTGATCATGAAATACAATAACTTACACATCAGTAGCATACGTATTATACACACATAATCGATTTCACTTTAAGTTGTCTTATAATCAGGAAACGGGATATAAAGCACTACATATACTATTTTTCTTAGAATACTCACTTTATCATACATATATGATGTATAACTATGACATCATATATCGATTCTAAATCATTAATGCGATTCAATCAAAAATAATAAGTAGTATATATATAAGTAATGATAAAGAAATTAAATAATTCATATTAATGCAAAAACAAAATATAGTTTATTTAACTTTTGGATATATATGGATTCTTAAATTTTTATTAAGAATCCAAAATTTATAAAAATTTAAATAAGAAAATAAATTTAATATATATAAACTCACATTGTGAGTATTGTTCAAAGACAGCTTAAGAAAAAAAAAGATATGATCAATGATATTAAAAATATCATAAAAATTAAATATTACAAAGTCTCAAAAATCCCTCACTTGTGTATTCGAGAGTTAAATCATTTCTTTTTTTTCAAATTACGATTTTCAAATCACTTTTACTTGAAATATCTTACTGTGTGTTCTCTTCCATTATACGCGCAGAGAATATCTAATGCACCATTTAATATATTTTATTTTGGACCTCGATGAACATGTATTATGCGATTTACTATGACTAAAGGAATACTTGTGTGTTGAGGGAACACAGTCAAGATAAGGTAAGAAATAGAGTGATTTTGCTTTTCAGCGAAAATACGAAATAATGGTTTACATATGTCTGGTATTTCCGAAATTAATGCCACTTTGATTAGCACCTTTATTGCTACCGTATTGTAGACTTATCACGCCCTGTCCAGCCCTGAGTTGTTCATCCGTGAAATTTCGTACATTCTTATCCGCTTCTTTAGGACCGATACTTGGTTTGCCGTAATTACCCGCCTGTAAAAATACATTTTATAGAACATCCGAATATTTTTACGACATTATTGTGAACTAGTAAATAATATTTTTCTAGCATATATATTAACAGCATATATTGATTTAATTAAAACTTAATTTGCGAAAAGATTTTTGTTTTTACAGGTTTATAATTCAAAAATAATTGATATTTTAATAATTTTATAAAAAGAGCAGCTATATATATACGGATTGTGATAAAGGAATATGCATGAAATTTTTAGTTACACTCGATATATTTATGTTTATGAACTATACCTTTCTTCCAAGAGATTGTAGGCAAATGACAACGGAATTTAAATTCTGTCTTTCCCAAAGATCTACGGTCTGGAAGGTCTCCTGTGCTGGGACACCTAGTGCTTTCGCAGACTCCAGAAAAGCATTTATATTTTCCATGCATTTAAAAGCCAGCGATGTCCTGTTAATTTTCTTCACCGATCCTTCCTTAATGTCATTCACCAAGCTAGCGGGAAACAGAACAAATGCAATTAATATAAGTGTTTTTGCTTCGCCGATGATCTTTATGTCGATCGGCATTTTTCGTAATTTTTTGAATTTTTAAAAAATATGTACACGCAAAGTAGGACGCCATCCTTCAAGGTTTCGTAAAAATTGTCCATATCCCCGGTGGTGTTTATATTTTCGCCAGTAATCGTTTTGATCCATTCCAGACATTCCTGTGCCAGTTCCTCGCTGTACTTGCTATTGATCTGTAATATAAATAAATGAACATGTTATATCCTTTTAAAAATTATCTCTAGAGATGCAAGAGTAGATGCTATTATATTTTCAAGTTCTCGGCCACAAGCCACAATGTTGGCTTTGATATTAAGTGAAAGGGCCACTTATTAATTATGTGATGTTCTAGTATGTGCTAAGTAATGCATCCTGTAGGGTCTGTAACCCTGAATGTAACCAGAGTCACTGACCTATAACTCATTACAATATCAATTTATTTCTTTCAGTAAATGTACCATGCGCGTATCTTTTTTATGTGAATACAAATGTCTCATTTTAGGAAACTGCGCATTTTTTCATATTTGTGCGTTTGCTATTTTAATATTATTTAAATATATAATAATTTCTAATAGATCAGTTTGCCTCAGATTTTTTTATTAAATTATCAATTTTTGTTAAATTATTATTTCCATTACATACATTATCATATCTGATGGAAATCAATTTGGTTTGTATAAAAGAAATCAACAAATATACATTTCTATTAGGATGAACGATTTCTACCTGCCTATAGGCGTGATTGCCTAAAAAGGAAAGGTTTCCAAGCATGGACCGTCAACATTCATCTTCCTGTAGTATGCATATTCCGTTAGAAATACGGTGCCTTGAATCGTGATGCACTTCGAGAAACTCAGGTATGTAAAGGATGTCCTACCGCATTTCTTTCATTCAACTCTAAATTAATTCTAACTTGCTCGGAAAACATTTTGTCCTATTTTATTTTGTTTAATCTCTTCATATCTTAATTATTTATATAATTTGATTATCAATTTCATCTTAAAATTTTACAAAAAAGTCGATTCACGATTAAATAAAAGATATAATTATTTGTTCAACTGCATCTCTCCTTTTCTTTAAAAAATTTAATTTTTTTTTAAATCCTTGGGATCTCAATCATTTATAAATAAATGTCAATTATAGCATATATTAATAACTTTCGGAAATTTTAAGATGAGATCGATATCGAATTAATTGTAGTGTGCAAATATGTGAAAGTGCCTTATATAGTGGGACACATTATGGGGTCGGACATATTTTACGCGTTTAATTATAATAATATAATATACATATATGTGTGTATGTATATGTGTATCATGCGTCTGGTATTCGCGTGAAAGTGTTTTTACAGCGGATGTAGTTTCAAATTTTCGGTGCGTCACTGTAAAGCGATTCGATGCCAGCACGAAATTATTTCTGTGGCATGTTTTCTCTAAAAACATTATCGTCCATAAAGAGCATAAATGAACACGTGTATATTGCACAGATGTATTGCATATACATCTGTATCTTTACTTATCAAGGAAATACATTTCAAGCGTTTCCCAACAGAGATAATCACCCACGAATTCAAATTATGATAACATCAATTTTTCACGTAAACATTTCTGGTTTTGTGCAAAATAATTAGTTAGGACCAAACGTCCGTATTCTATTTTCATAATTTTTATTTAACATTATTTCGTATTCTCTTCTTTACAAAAATTTGTACGATGTTTTGGATCATTTTTTTATATGTTTTTAAAGCATAATCATTAATAGATATTCTATTGCAAAGTGTTGAATAATTTACTGATCACAAAATGAAACAATGCCATAAATCTTGTGCAAAATATTCTTATATTTATGTATTTATTTCATCTGAAACATCATCTTGTGATTGCCCAAAATTAATCTTCATTTGATTTAATCATTTGAAACTTATATGGATATGTATATTAAGTCTTTTTTTTCAATTTCAATTTTACTGATAGTTCAAATCGGAAACGAATAAGAATACTATTGCATAATATTGAATATACATATGTATATATATTGCCATATCGCATGTCATCAAGTTGCGCAATACATATATCTTCGGTTTAATGAAAATTCCTTTGAGAAATTCTATTCTAATAAATTTTATTATATAAAATGAAAAAAGTAACTTCCATATAGACACAAAATTTTTTATTCATTAAATGAAATTAAAATTTTGTAATTTATAATTTTATTTCTCTAAATTGAATATATTTATTGTTAGTTATATTTAACAAATATTTAAATGTTAATAATTGTATTTTTTTATATGTAATTATTAATTAACTAAGAAAATTTCCCCACTTAAATTTTAAAAAATATTTTACAATATAAAGTCAAATATCTTTCATCAAATTAGTATAATTAATTTCAAAGATTATGAAAATTGAAAAGCTTTGCTTGATACAATTTTGAGACTTTAAATTCGTAAAAAATGTTATACGTGATTTGATTAATATCTCTGAGCTCGGTCATTTACTTTTTGTTCCGCATAGTTGCACATTCCTCGATATCAAAACGCTCTCTTTTAAAGAGTGTACGCGATACCGTGACTACTGTCATTAATAATATAGAACGCGATCGCTTCTATATTTAGACATTAAGTAAGCGCACGATAATTTAATTAATGTGAAAAGAGTGACAAGTTTTAGCATAGGCGCGTGATACTTTGGATCGCTTTTTCGTGCATATAAAGCACAATGCAAAATAACGTAAATAAATTTTGAAGACACCGCCTAATTTTATGTAATTAAATATTTCATCAACATCAAAAATATTTTGTGGCATTTTTAAACATATTTTTGATGAAAAACAGGTTATTTTATAATATAATATTAGATCTTTTGTTTTTTTAACATTATTAGAGTAAAAGATATAAAGATAATAATGTATAAAAATATAAAAAAAGTAGAATTTGAAATTTTAATTTCACACATTCGACGATTCTCTCTGTACGTATGATATCACCGGATAACTGTCTATATCTTATCAATATCAAGGTTAAAGTTAGTGAGAATAATCAGTATTATAAATATATATGATGTATCATAGAGTTAGTTGAAGCACAGGCAATATTCATTCAAACTTAAAAAAGGAAATGTATTAACTTTTTGAAGTAATTTACCGATAGTTGTATTTTATACTATTAATTCAAATTCAAGTGTACAATTTTTTTCTTTCTTTTAATCTAAGAGTACTAATTAGTTTTCTCATTTATTATAATATACGCTGGAATTTGAAAGAAGTTTGTTTTTAAAGAAGATTATATTTGTGGCATCAGCATATACATATATCAGCACCAGAAAAATTTTAATAAAAAGATAAATAAAAAGAGAGATTTAATAAAATATGAAGCTTTAAATAGAAAGAACCGAATAGACTTTTAAATGTAAATATTTATAGAAGTTTTTAAATACCGGACGGTCCAACTTATGAGAAAACTTTTACCTTTAGAGAATACAATCTCTAGAGATTGTACAAATAATTTAATTCAACAATTCGGCAGGCTGCAAAGTCTCGTATCGAATTCCAAGAGGCGAGAGAGTTTATCGTAATCCTTATATAGAAATGAATGGCCAAAAGAGAGAAGCGAAAGGAAAGAGGTGTGATACGAGGATATTTCTTCGATATATTATATGATCTTGGATCTCGAAACCTTTCGAACAGATCCTTAAAATATGAAGGCGATGCGGAGAGCTTACTTGTATTAGAAATTATGTGAGGATTACATTCTTTGCGTGTAAACCGCATAACACTCATCACGAAGTTTATATGCATCCCGAAGTTATAGAAAAAACTTGTATACTATATTTAATCATATAAAAAATTCATTATTAATATAAAAAAAATTAATTCACCAATTTTTAATTCGTGGTCAGTGATCCTAAAAAACGTCGATCTCTGAAAGAGCCTTCACGCATTTATGTAATTAATTTCATCAAAGTTTGTAAAAATTATATCACAGCTAGATAACACAGCAGATATTAACAGTTAATGAGATTTATGGGAGGATTTATCAAGATTACATCTTATACAATCATAGATTAGAATTATTTTTGTGCGAAACGGAAGCAAAATATTGGTTTTTTTACAAGATAATTATTACACTATTTATTAAATGTAAGAGTGCTCTCGTGTGAATTATAAGAATCTATGAATTGATTGATTTTTCTAAATTTCACTTATCGATGATATTTCTAACTTTACGCTTATGATATTATTATCGTATTATCAAGCTTTCAGCCTATGAAGCCATAAATAAGTAATTTAACTGCGTTAAAAATGCAAATAAGAGCCAAAAATTTGTGAGATTACAAAAGGGATTGTAATTAAAGAATTATGATGCATTTTCATCATATGCTTTTAAAGATGACATTGAACATATGTAATATTCACACGTTCATGGTCACAAGAATTAGGTCAGAGGCCTGCTGCTATCAATGAAGCGCAAGCCAGATTGAATTGCTCGACTATGTCGTGATGAGCAAAGTTGTTTCGCTTATTAACTAGGGTGATCGTAATCTTGCCAGATGTTTAATGAACGGCTTGATATCGAAGTAATTCCTCGCAATCAGTGCAAATACGCCAGGGTTATAAATTATTAATAATTATATAAATAATGACAAAATTTATATATTTTAATATTTTTTATACATATATATTAATTGCGACAGATTGAGAATAATATTATATATATACCATTGAAAAATATAATATAATTATTTCGTAAGCAATTATTGTTGTCTATTTTTACATTTTCGAATGTGATAAAAACCGCGTAAATTTACTTTGGTTCTTCAAGGATGCGCGGATATGTACAAGACTTCACTTGATTGATTTGCATGTTAGTATGGTGCACTCGACGAGTAGAGAATCTCCTTTCTAAAGGAAGTTTGCAGTCGTGCTTAACGAGTACCCTTAAAAGGTATACGCTCGTTACGAGAATTTAAACTTATCGTATACAACACGTATTACCGTCAAAATCGTTGACCTACTTTGTAAGACCGATCCATTACATAATCCCCTTATGCGACTTGCCCGATCATACGCGTTTCTCGAGAAGTTCTTAAACGCATATTGTGAGCGAAGGTTGTCCGGTTGCTCTTGACCGTATAAGGACCTCTAAACGAGAAGAGAGCGGTCAGCTTGAAAGAACATCGCATCTCTACATGTACAATATATCAGAACAGATAAAAAGAACACATGTTATAATTCAAGGAACCTACAAGTCTCTTATTTTAGAGACACAAATTAGATATTTCTAGATCCTTTCTTTTCTGATTGGAATTTCGTTTTTTACATCTTCACGTTCACCAAAACATTAACATATTGAATACATTTAATTCTAAAAATGTATCGTTATAATATCCTATAAATAATATTGAAGCGATATTATAATTTAATGTCAACGTTATGCAAACCGACTCGACTATTTAATCGTTGATGTATATAATCAACTCTCTCATATATGTGCGAATGTATGTATGTGTATATATATTGACTATTTAAGAAGTTGAATACACATTAAAATCATGACGGTACATGGAATAACGTCATCTTTAAATTCACACAAGCCACGAACGTGATCTCGTCGAGGTTTTGTACGTTATAAGAAACCGCATTCACTTTGTGCATGAATAAGTAATAAAAAGACGAGCAAGAGTCATATAGAAGCGTGAAACAAGATAATATGTAAGTGCATATACGTATATACTTTATAATTTTAATTTTTAACAAACTCTTTCAAATACAATATTCTTTCTCAAGAAAATAAATATATATTATATTAATATTCGCCAACTATTTAAAAACATAAAGCACAAATAAAATTTGTTCCATTTCCAATGGTAGATTTTCAGCGCATAAAGAACTCTGTTTCGACACTCGTAAGCGTCATGGGAACCCATAGTTGCTAATTGAGAAGAATGCAAGGTCAAGGGGTTCCTATCCAGATCATGGCGAGGTCTGCGAAACTCGGTCATCTTGTGCACTTATAAATTTATTCATGATTCTATCATAGTTGCCGATATTACATAGCTAAATTATTCATGCAATTGTTCAACAGGTTTACATCAAAGAAAAATAAATCTTTGAATGAATTGTTTAAGAGTGCATTAAATGATCATCTAATATTTACGAATTTAATTATTATATATTTTTTAAACTTTTTATCATGTTGCTTTAAATGTTTTTGTTTCATCAATTTTGTCAAGTTGTTTGTTAAAATTAACTATTAAATGTATTTCTTCTTAAAGCTTATATTTTTAAATAAAGGAAGGTGTAAATAAAGGAAGTTATACATAGCTAATTGTAAATAAAGTATTTTCTTAAGTAATAAAGTATATATGCGAAATATCGATAACTAAAATTGTCTATAAATCTTATGTCATCTTACAGGATGACATAAGAAAGAAGCTATGCTGTGGAATGAGTCACAATGTGGAGAAAGTTTTCTGGACAAACTTCATACAGGATTTGCGTTACGTTTTCATAATATTCTGATCCGATGAGTTAATTAATTAAGTACTTCCTGCGACATAATTTCGTAAGTACAGAATTAGTAGATATATCTTCCTAGATAAGCTTAGCAAGATGTATGATAATGAAATTCAAACCAAGTTGCAAGGTATGAAAGTGTTTATGCATAAATATATGTAATCAGTACTATTTAAAGTGTTGAAAGTTTTATATTAAATTTATGAAATGATAATAAAAGTATATCTGCTTATTTAGAGTATAGTATTACAATATAAAACGTGTAATAAAATATTTCTTTATTATATCAAATAATATTAAAAGGATTAAAGAAATAAGCGAAATAAAAATGAATATTATTCTATTCGTAGATTCTGATGTATGTAATGCATTTCCGGAGAGAACGCGATAACTTTTATCAGCTATAAGCTCACACAAATGATGTGTCAAATGCGATTATAACTCATGCGATTTCGCTCATTTTTTTATAGTTAGATCGGTTTTACATTTCGTTAGGTAGTTTCTGTTAGGTTAAAATTAATATAAAAAATATATAAAATTGATATTTCGTTATATATTATATATATAAACATATATATATAATATTTTGTTATTGTTTTGTCATTTTAATTTAATAATGTTATAATATAATTATGTAATTATAATTATATTATAACCAGAGTTGGCAAAATATCAATTAAATTTTTTAAAATTGAACAAATGATATGAACAGATTTAATTAAAATATTTTGAATTGACGATTAATTTTAGAAAGATTAATTAGAGATCGTTACAATGACGATTAATCTTATAGCTTATATCAATCGTCATTGTAACAATCTCTAATTAATCTTTCTAAAATTAATCGTTAATTCAAAATATTTTAATTACATTTGATTACATCTGTTTGTAATTAAATGTCATAATTAATTTAAAAAGTAATTAATTAATCAGCATCTCTGATTATAACAGTACTGAATTAAAACCTTTAATACTTGTCAGTTCACTATTTAAAATTAAATTTTAAAAGTACAAATTAATATATGTATTTCTTCGTAATTTAATTTATATGCGTGACTTGATTTTGCTTTCTTATTACTTTAATAAAATTTTAATTTTAAGCTAATTACAATCTTGATGTAGTATATTACAAGCTTAAAATCAAAATGTGAAATTGCATATCAAATGATTTATCTGTTCGCATAGAGACGCGTAAGAATAATAAGGTGCGCGCGTAAAGAATCCTTATTCTTCATATTATTCCCTCCGAAACGGAAAGCATTTTATTCTACTTCCGGCCATTAATACAGATATCCTCTTCGGGGATGAAGCATCTCTATTTTTAGAGTACGGTTATAATACTACACATTCATCGTATGGCATGATATTCGTAGAAAAAGACTGTACTGTCAGTAAGTTACCGCGAAGTCATAATTCTAAAGAAGATTACTATTACAACAAAATAAACAGCAGAGAATTACACACATATATAGAAAAGATAAGAGGATTACATAAAATATATATACCTAGAAAATATTAAAAAAAATTATTTATCTATTGTTACAAATATAATGATGACATAAAGAGAATGTAAAACAAAAATATGAGCTGCTTCAAAACAACTATATTAAAAAAATTATACAATCTTGTATATTATCTATAGAGATGTGTATTTTTGTCACTATTTAATATATTTAAAATTACTGCATTATAATATAATGCTGAAATTTTTTTACTCTAATTTACTCCATTTGATTATTATAATTATCAATTAGCTGTTATGCTCAAAAAGCTTTGGCAGAGGTTGCAATATGCCATGCAACAATTTTACCTTCGTGTCAATAAATGGAAATTAAATTGATTCCTTTCCCAGAGAGAAAAAAGAGCTCGAGATCATAATGCCTATGATATTATCTCACCTGGTGTCAGTAGCTTAATCATATGTATTTATTCTTCCGTTGGCTCGTATAAACAGATAGGCACATTGAACTCTAACAATTATGGGAGATGGTCATGGCTCACAGTTTTTAATTTATAGCATTGATAGTAGTAATTACGTCTTTAATACTACCTCGGAATCATAGCGTGTCGCTGTTATCTTAGAATGTTATATATATATTTACGGACGCTCGTAGTTATCATGAATTTTAATTAACGTTTGCACCTTGTTCTATGCACGATAATAGGTACTCTTTTCACTCTCTAATTATCAGACAATAATAACTATTAATGATAACTCATTGATCATCAACACATCACTAATGATATAACTTTCATTATTAATGGCAATAATAATTTAGATTTAAATAATGTAGCCTTCGCTTGTAACATATGATGTATGAAGAAAGTTATTAAAATTGTTATCACTGAATATGGTATTATTGCTGGAATAGATTAATTTTTACAAAATTAATTATATTGCAATAATATTATTAATAATTTTTTCTTAGGAAATTTTAATAATTAGATAATAATATATAAATATCTTTTTTAATATTAAATTTTTTTCAGTAATAAAATTTTGCACAAACTCTAATAATAAAAAATATCACGAGTTTCTAATTTGATATTAAATTTCTTCACGAGGCTTTTGTACTGGCAGTTCACAATATGCAACGTCACACTTAATCTTAATGCATACGCGTCACAACGTTCTGAGACAAATGATTTCGTACCGGTGAAGTATAACGAGCTGGCTCAAACTGCATTCCGCAGACGATAAGCTTATCTTAGCTCGCAATGAGTAGTCTGAGCTTCCTCTTACTTCTTAAACTTATTGCGACAAATGTCTTTTAAATATTGTAAAATATGTATTTTTGTTTTAACAATTTTCATTTCTTATTAAAATGTAAAATAATTTTTTATAATTTCTTTGTATATACTCTTTAATTTACAAGAAATTACAAGTCTTCTATTATAATATAAAAATATATAATAACAATAAAAAAATATATTTTACGCAAATTATGTGATAGTATTATTGAACAAATTAAAAAATGCAATTTTTAAACTTTAATTTTATTATGATTTTTAAGTATCTGTGTAACGTAATAATTATATAATTTATTTCTAATTTTTAAATATATCTGGAGATCTTATAATAGTAAAATCTAGAGAAATAGCGATAAGTTTTAAATTTATAACATTCATAATGGAATTTAGTAAATCATAGTATATGCAGAAAGGAAAAAACTGATAAAAATGACTCACTGTCCATATATGCGGTAACATTCAGTATATTTCCATTCTTGGTGAACGTTGATTATGAAGTACCACTAAAGTTTCTGTTCCTCTCGAGAATATGAAATATGTTATATGTTTCTAAGCATGGTACTTGAAGTACTCAATGCGTTACGTGCAAACCCACACTGAAGAAATAACTGATAAAGAAAAATGTCTCTGTATACATAAGATATATCCTTATTATTCATTAAATCAACTCTCGAATAAATTAGAAACACTATGAAATTAATAAGATAAAAATAATTAATAATTTTTGTCTACAGGAAGAGTAAGAGGCAATTTCGAATGTGGCTATGTGAGAGAGAAATATTGAAGAGAATGCTATAGAGGGAGAAGGGTTGTAACACGAACAGTCGAAGAAGTGTACCATGGCCAGCGGGTTTTGCGAGGGACGCTCCCTTCTTCGGCAATGTGTGGATCTCATTTTAATTCCCCTCGAAAGAGACGACCGCCTCGCAGCTGTTACCGCTTACGGAACGAAATGCAACGCTGAATTCCATAGAATATCTCAGGTGAGAAAAAGGAATCAATGTCGCGAAAGGACGAACGCATCTTTTGTGAGTACGCATCAAAATTTAACTTTTTCATTACATCTTCGAATTGATGGAATTTTTACTTATGAGAGTGGGTTGTCTTTGCAACTGTACTATCGTATACGTCGTCAAATGTTCGATTTTTATTGATTTAATCGATTTTTCTTAACAGAAATATTGAAATATTAAATGTTTATTATACGTTCAATTTTGATTAGCCTCGATGTTGATTATTTCTGCATAAGATTTTGGTTTACCACCATCCGATATTGCATCTGATGGTTAATTATCATTATATCTACATTCAATGCATAATTCAAAAGATATATGATTATTAAATGATTTACGTCAATCATTTTTGCAATCTAAAGAATGCATAAAATGGTTAATAATTTCTGTGAATTTTGTTTAGCAAATTAAAATAATAATCTTTTCGTGAAACTGATTGCATTCTGAATATTCCGCGCCTGAAATATTCTTATTAAATAAAAAAGAACACGTTTTTTTATCACTAAAATGTTTATTTTTTTATTTTACGAGAATAGTATAGATATAAAAAAAAACAAAATATTTTTAACTCTTTTATCAAACTTCGCAAAAATTTATGAAAGCTATCTCTTATCGTTTATTATCGGTCAAATTAATTTATGATTGTGTAATAAGGTTTCGAAATCGTATTATGTCGTTTTATATACAATCAATTAATTTTTTAAGGTTCCATTTAAGAAGGGCTTTATTATCAGTTTTATATTTACAAAATTTTTAGGTCAATATACACATACTTGAATAAATATTCGCGATTAAGGTACTTACATGGGTTTGTGTTACAAAGTGACTTACGACTGGCGGGTATCGTTTCGTCTCACAATCAGAATTGTGAAAGCAGGCAAATGTATAGCACACATTTAAACACAGCTGCGAGATAAACACTCTTTTATGGAACTTTAGTGCAAAGGTTCGCCAAACTGGATAATGTGTCATGAAATTTTGTTAATCGTGTTGCGCGTATTTTTTTCGATATAAAAAGATATTCCTTGCAAATTAATAATGCATTTCAAAATTGATATACGATTGCGATTATTGAAATCATCGGATTATAATAAGTAATGAAACAAGAAATGTTTAAATTGCAGCAAACATGAAAAAAAGAATTGTTTAAAATTTGAAATAATTTATATTTTCACGCTTTTATTTTATTATTTATATGAGTTTCTCTTGATGCTCTCACAAATTTATCTACACGGTAAAGATAAGGTAAACACGAGCTATGTGAACGAGTGTGAAGATACGAGAGTAGCGAAAGCCTACCTCATTATTTACTGTGTGCTACATTATATTGGTATGCGAACTTGGTATTTTCTTTTTTTTGTAATAATATATTTGACAAAAAAATTATGATTATGAGTAGCTCAAAATAGAATTGTGTTGCAAAGTAAAGCAAAATGCTAAAAAAAATATATGAATAAGAAATAGACAAGATCTAATATTTAAGTAAATGAATGAAATATCTTCAAGTGTTTGATTCTATTTCAATATAAAAAATGTATTTACTTGATGAAATTTTAACACAATAGATATTGGTTACCATTATATTTTGAAACTACATAGAATAATTATTACTATTCTATCGATTAAAAATCATAGAATAATAATTATTTTAATTTCAACTACTAGTATAATTTGACATTAATTTATATTAGTGACAATCATTCATATTTTCACATAACTTCGATGATCTATTATCTATTATTTGTTTGTTTTAAGTCTGAACTCTCATCCCATCTCAGAGCACAAACATAGATAAAAGAATCTATGTAAGAAATCAATACTTTGGGTACAGTTTTTTATTTAATTAAAATATTATTTAATTCATTACTCATTTAATGATATATGCATCTATTAAAATCTAGTTACCACTTCTAAAGATTTCATAACGAAAGCTTTTATAATTGGAGCTTCATGGAAAGATATTTCAATGCCACATTTGTGTTTTCATCGGCCTCGTCACCCTCCAGCTGGGTGATACCACATCCCTATATAAACGCGCATTCACGGATTCAACGAACAGGGCTGCGCGTCTGCGCCCTGCGGAAATGCACCCTCAGTAGGTCGAGTCCACGTACCCCGGGCGGTTAAGGTGGGGAAGAGGGTGGCTGTTGACTAGGTCAGGGTGGCAGGATGCCAACGATCGTGCGTATATACTAGAAAAGCGGGTCGACGAATCCTTCTCGCGCGGGTCCTCACCTTTCTCTGGGCCTCGGCGGCAAATCCGGACTTGGCGGCTCTGTTACAGGCCATCTCTCTTGCTCCTTGGAACGACTTTTACAATTTCGCGGGCTTCGATCGGAGAGGAGACGCGAGCACTGCACTGTCACACCTCGGCGGCCGCGGCTCGACTGAAGGGAACCGGCGCGGCGACGAGACGACGCGACAACCGAACCGACAACACTCCGCTCTGGAGTTCCTTCGACGCACCCATTGGCCGCCCGCGCCAAGTATTGAGCTTTCGTGTCTGGCGGCATGTTTGCGACACGTGACCTCCGTTCTCCAGGCCGCTCCGGAGATGACGTCAGACGATGGATGGATTCCTGGAGGTGAGGAGGTAAGAGGATCCTTTTTTCTTTCTCTCTCGCGCGATATTTCCATTAAATTGACGTGTGCGCCGACAGCGAACGTATACTATATCCATTTATTGTAAATGCATTTCTTTTTTTAATTTGTCTATCTTCTTGTTTCTTTTTATGTTTGCAAAACGTGAGTGTAAGTATAGTATATGTATATTCTTGTTTTAGAGCTTTAAAGATGGAAAGCGTGAAAACATTGCAATTAAAATCAATTGAGATTTTTAAATTGAAATGAGATTTTATGATACTACATCAGGATCAAAATATTTAGAGTTCGATATGCAGTGCATTCTTATTGCTTTTTTATTTAATGATTTGTTGGTAGATGCGCTGTGAGATATAAAATTAAATTTTTTTTTTTCTATAATTGCATAATTGCAAAATATAATTAAAGAGAAAATAAATAAATATTTCTTTTAAATTTTAAATCGATATTTTATGTAGTAAAAAAGGAAACATTTCCCAATGCAGCGTAAAAATTTCGCTATAATAGTGCATTTAATGGATCATCTCTCTCACTTGTCAGTTCTTCTCTAACTAATTGTAAACTGGAGATGATGTCAGGCTTAGATTTCTGAGAACCAACTTAGTATCGTCTGAGAATTCAAAAACTCTTTATAGGTATCTTAGGTATCGTGACTCTGCATTAATTTTTGTGATGCATATACCTATTTTAATGCATTACAAAATTCAATACTATAGATATAATATTTTGTTCAAGAGAATGTCTACAATAAAATAAAAAAAACAGAGTCAAATATTTAATTAATAATAAATTAAATATTTTTTTGTATAAAGGAAAAATTCTTTTTCTTTTTCTTTCACTTCTTTTACATTTTATTGTTCTCTGTTATAATAAATATATTTATATATTTTGATATTTAATTGTAATTAATCTATTTCTTTTTTTTATATTAAATTTCAGTAAAAGACATTTAAGAGATTTAGCTACATAATATAATGTTTTTATTTGAATTTCGGGGATATCGACGGGAATTCCTCGCAAATGTCTCCTTTGATTTCGATTATGATTTCGAAGAATGAGCGACCTTCTTCGAGGTCTTTCGGAGGCTTCCCACATAAAGCAAAAAAAATACTTGCTGGGTCATGGAACCCTCGATAGATATAGGCTATATGTAGGTCCGTATACTTTTACCTGGTCTTGATTGTTGCTGCTTCTCGACGGCACGATCGAAACTCGTTCTGGAAACAAAACTGGTATCACGCTGACACTGTATGTATGGGATGTTTATATGTATGAATTGTGTGCGTTTCATACGTATGGAATGAGAAAAATATAGATATTATATTTTAGGAACTGATACTATGGAATTGTATTATCAAAACGATGAAATAAGATTCGATTCATATATCAGGAACAACTTCTGAGCTGTAAATTACATAATTTATATAACTTATAATTATAGAGTAGACAAGTTATTAGAAAAAAATATTACAAGTTGCTTTTATAGCTTTGAGAAAAATATTTTAAATATTTATTGCATAAATATTTGAGAGAATTGAGAAGAATGATATACTAAATAATATACTAAAAGGTGTCTCAAAATTTTGCATAAATTGAATTTTTCGGATAATTTAAATTTACGTCAGATTTTCACAAAAATTAATGATGAATAAATCAAAAGATTTATCAGTTTTTTTAATGCACGCGGTGCATTCACTAGACTTCTTTTTGAAAATGCATGCACATTTTACGACTGCGTTCGGGTCTATTTGCATTTTTAGCAGCTTCTGAGGAATCAGTGCTCCGTGAGAAAAGCAGTGCCATACCGAGAGGAATGCTAAGAATTTACTTAATAACAACTTCCTTTTATATATATGTGGCGCACAATCAATTGGAGAAATCTGAGCTCACTTTTTGATATTGTATATACACCGATATTGTATATCCTTACGTTTATATCTCTTTCATTAGATACGCGCGTTTAAAGCATTCATTTAAATCGTGTCATTTAATTGCAGTTTGCGCACAATACATAAGAAATGTTAAAATGTACTAATTTTATTTTAATCTTATAAAAAAAGAAACCCTTTAAATTTAGAGAAACTCTTGTTTGTTTAAAAAGATGTATTTACACAATTTCGTAAATTCTTTATAAGAAAATTCTTTATTTTTAAGATTTTTTTCAATGAATCTTTATTATTGAAATATTTATATAAGAATTGTGAATAAAAGTTACATAACATAAGTAACATTATTTTTAGTGTCAAAATAAAAGAAAAGTATAAAACGCGTTATTATCTCGTCTAAAACATTGAATAATTATATAAGCATATATAATTATTTTGTTTGGATATTTAGCTCAAATAAACGTGTGCCGCATTTAAAATCGATTAAGACCGACCTTCGTGTTGCCTTCGGCATGCACTAAATTTCTGTTTATGCACATTGATACACATGTCACGTATCGATGACTCAATCGCCTGTAGAACTTCTATGGGTATACATACGTGTCTCAAGATACATATGGCTACGACGAAATGTTAACTCTGTTTTTACAATCGAAAAGCTAAAAAATATATTTCTTATTTTTTTAAACAAAATTTATAACAATATATATATATATATATATATATATATATATATTTGCATATTTTTAAATGTTATTGTAACGTCCACCAAATGTTAATGCTGAAAGAAATATAATAAGGACAGATATATAAAAGTCTGTGATTGTAATCTCAAAACGTGTAATAACATATGGGAAATATTTATTTTATGTTTTGTATTATTTTAATACATTTAATAATATGTGTGTCTGATTTTCATTTGAAATCTGCAATCAAAATACGAATTAGTGCGATTCTCACGCATTACGCTATTGTGTGAAATAATACATAACGCAGTGATGCGATGCACCAAGGTCGTGGTCACATATATAAGTAAGTAAAAAAATATATATGTACAAGAATTGAGTCTGAGTTTGAGAGTACATTTCTTTCACAATCATACAAGCGATTTAAACGCATGCATGCACGCAATTTGTGATAGTTGCACGCAAAGAAGCGTTAAGAGTGAAGGTCTTGGTCGCTTTCTTTCAAGAATTTGCATCATGAATGTAACTGAAAATTTTTGACAATATATATATATATATATATATATATATATATATATATATGTAATATATCTTTGATTATGAAATAACAAAATTATACATGTATTAATATATAATTTCATATATAATTATTGTAAAAATGAATTAATAATTGTATTGTATGATTATTCGTTACATTAATTATATGCTTTTGTTTATTAATTATACGTGTATATATATTGAAAAAAATTTGCTACGGAATATATTCCAAAATTTATTAGTTTATTTGCTTAAATTTATTGCGCTATAAGCGTAAATTTCCAGGGTTTCTTCACGATTCTCATATGAACTGCTGACAGCATTAGCGAAATTTGAGTTAATGGAATGCGTTTTTAAGATATGCTAGAATTTATCTTGCTATATGTATATTTCTGAAAAATTATACGTTGCACACACATGAAAATATTATGCTTCGTTGCCAAATATTGAAAGGATTAGATTATTTCATTTCTCTCAGGATAATCTATATAAGAATTTTATATCTATAAGAAGATAAGATGTTTTTTTTTATATTTATAGAATATATATAATTAAAATATATAATTTATAAAATAATAATGTTGCTTAGAAATCGTAGTTTATATTACAAATGCAGTAAATAAGAATAAATGGAGATTTTTCCATTAAATAATTCCCCATAAATAAAAACTGTTACGTATTTGTGAAATTAAGTCAAGTCCACGTTTGTTGCTTACCGGTTCACTTACGATTTCTTTCGAAGGATGGTTAAAACCGGATCAAATGAGTACCAGTTCAGGCAACGTCCTTGTACCGTAGAGAAATTCTGACCGAGAATTCATTCTTTTTTATCGATCCACATTTTGTCGATCTATATTTACATCATCCTTTTATATTGAAACAAACTTTCAATCTGATACACAAATATATTTAATTTTTATTTTTATTACATTATTCTCATTATTCAATATTATTTAAGGTATAAACAAACATATTAATAGTTGAAAAAAATCTGAATGTTTCTAAATATTTTGGAATATATTTAGGAATATATTAGTTTTATTTATTCCTAATATTAGGAAAAAATTTCCTAATAATAGTTTTATTTATTTCTAACATTAGACGAAGTGCGCGCTTGTGTTATTATCTAGTGTAAATAAACTTTATATTATTTTTTAAAAGAATATATTCTTTTAATATAAAATCAAATAGAGCGCGCTTGTGTTATTCTAGTTTGATTACATTTTATTGCATATATTTTTCGTTGTAAATTAGATTCATCGTCAAAATTCGCGGACGTTTTAAATACATGTTTTTATCTTTTTTTTTTTAGGAATTTCTTTTTAATGGAATCGAAAATGTGATATATTCAAGTTTATTTATTTAAACAAATATAAACTTGATTTGACAGAATAAAACAAAGATGAAAATATAATTTACAAAGTTTACTACTCACAATATGCAGGTGTAATGTGTTTTTACATTACATACATATTCATTTCAATAATTAATTTATTGAAATATATCGAAATATATAGATTAGATAACAACTAAATCTAAGGAATATTTTTTTAATACCTTACCTTCGTTGTTTAGTTAGAGTTTACAGTTGCATTACTAACAATAATAACTTATAAATGTTAATTTAGGGTTTATTATATAGGTAATTAATATAACGAACAGTTGTAGAAAAAAATATAAGAAAGATTTTTTATATCCATTATTATTTTTATTTAAGCATTTTGTCCCATATCATTTCAGTCA